TGTATAACCTTCTTAAGGGCACTCGGGGCCCGTGCCCAGGGTCCCCCTCCTCCCCGAGCGTACGGCGCGTCGCGTTCCGCGCGCGCCTCATGGAGCCATCAGACCACCATAGATGGGGCCTAACAAAGCTGATGCCGATACAAAGCCGCGGAAGACTTAACGGGTTGCCGGGGCTTCGGCTCGAAGTGCAGGAGTAGGAACGAGGTGGTTTTTAGTCAGTAAGAGTCTGACACTCCCTCCCGCCTCACCCAGGCGGGAGAAGACATTGAATGATTTTCCCCGCTCAAAAAAAAGGGTCCCCCCTCTCAGGGGGCCCCGAAGGTCCCGATAATTTCTACAACGGTTGCCCGCTACACGTTGTGTGGCAACCGGAGGCCCCGCAACGTGTAGCAGGTTCGATTCCCGTACAGGGAAAACCTTTGTGTGATCCATAAATTATTGTTTCGGTGTCTGGGTGTCATGTGTATGTGAACTTGTAGTATGTTTGTAAATGCACCCACGACACAGGAGAAAATCCAAATGTGCTGCCCCGGCGTAGTCAAAGACGTCCCTGGGTAGGTGGGTACCTGGTACGTCTACTAATAATAAAATACGTTCGTTCGTTTGTCATTTCTTAGGTGTCGGTTTAGTCAATCACAGAAGAAGAGTCTACTTAAAGTTCATTTATTTCCTTTCTTTCTCTTCTCAGTCTCACGCAGTCTCGTAGCTGCAGCGGTCTCGGCCTAGGCCGGCAGGAGGAGATAGACTGGCGTGACGTCATCACTGAGGCGGAGCAGATCGTCGGATATCCGACCTCCTTCCTCAACCTCCGCTGGCTGTTCAACGACGAGATCGCTAGTACGGCCATACATTTACGCAAACTGGTCAGTTGATAATTTGTTTACCATTTCTATCCTTATTATTAATATTATAAATCAGAAAGTGAGTTTGTTTGTTTGTTCCGCTTTCACGCCGTAACTACTAAACCGATTGCTTTGAATTTTTGCAGACGTAAAGTTCGAAGTCCGGATTAAATAATAGGGTACTTTTTATCCCGGAAAAAATAAATATTCCCGAGGGAAAACAAAAGTATTGGTATAGATGGCGCTGTGTGTATTGGTATATATTACATAGGCTACTTTTTATCCTTTTGTGACGCGAGAGAAGCCGCGGGTAAAAGCTAGTTAACTTATAAACGAGAAATTGCTTGATTTCTTGTTCAATATTTTACTGGAGTTTTTAAAATTCATTCAACAATGGCATAGTATAAAGAACAAAGTAGGTTATACTATGACAATGGGTAGGTCACACTAATAAATATTATAAATGTGAAAGTTATTTGTTTAGATGTTTGTCCGTCAATTACGCTGAAACTACTGAACGGATGTTGATGATATTTTGTATAGGCAGGGTATGGGCTGACTTAAGTGTTTGGACTTTTTATCCCGATTAAATGCTTTCATGGGGTGGAACAGGAATACGCGGGTAAAGCGGGTAAAAGCTAATAATACATAACAACAACAGCAGTAAATCATACGACGTAATGAGAATAAAATATCAATCATAAAAAAACTTTAGTTCCAATTGAAAGTTAAAAAAATTTAAGGGTGCAGACAATATGCAGACTCGTGAATGACCTAATTGATTCCATGGGTATAAGGAAGGGTGGAATATAAGTACTAGATCACAAAAAAAGCGGAGAATAAAACAACGAAACACAAGCAAACACCTTTCGATACAACAAGACGTATTCATATTCATCCACAGGTCGGTAGCAACCATCCAGTTCTAAAATCAGCGAAGAATCTGCTCGTAGGATCGAAGAGCAACCTTCAGTCAGTCGGTCTGATCATCCTACTGGTATCCAAAGCCGCTGGTTTCGACACTAAGAACTTCACAAGAGATCTCTATGACTCCGGAGTGCTGCACTCTCAGAGGGCTTTGGCGGAGATAGTAGAGATGAAAAGGACAGGTCATATGATACACAAGGCCATGGTAAATCTTCAGAAGAAGGGGGACCAAGGAGACAAGTACAAGGACCTGCTGTATGGGAACAAGATCGTGCTGTTGACAGGTATGGGATTAATGATCGAGTCATATTTGTGTCATTGGAGGAAGCGCCTATGCGCCCATTTGCAGCAGTTATAGATGTCTTGTGACTAATTATGATGTCGATGATGATTGTAAGATTTTTTTTATACCACGACGGTGGCAAAAAAGCACACGGCCCAGCTGATGGTAAGCGGTTACCGTGATTTGTATTATTAAGTATGTATTTACTTAGGTAGACTTTTCATAAATTATTAAAATTACGCCACAGTTTAGCTATGCTGATTTGAGCTATTTCCATATTACCATTGCCACTAAGAAAACCGCAGTCAGGAATTCGTTAAAAAGTCTTATAGATTTGTGGATGATTAACATTCGCTGACTCATCTGCTTTATTGCAGGAGACTTCCTCTTGGCGACATGTTTGCAGCACTTGGGTGGTCTCCGAAACAACGAGGTGACGGAGCTCATCTCCACTGGCCTTCGCGACCTGGTGGAAGGTGACGCGTTTGGAAACCATGATAATGACGGCAATCCCATACCTACACTGCCAAAAGGTAATAATTTGGTTAACCATAAACCGATGTCATATGCGTCGTCTTCAAAAGTTTTATTGTATTAGGAGCTGGAATGTAAATTCTACTTTTCTATTTAAGCTGAAGATGAAGAAGCTCACTACGACTGGGAAAATGAGGACAACCTACAGCCATTAGGTTCAAACGACTTCCTCGGCCGTGGTATAGCCGAGTGGAAACTACGGACCATGCTCATGTCAGGCAGTATCCTCGCCAAGGGATGCCAGGGCGCCATGAAGCTCGCTAACCGAGGTCCTGAGGTGGAGAAGAACGCCTACATACTTGGAGGGCATCTGGCGTTGCTATGGCAACTGTATTTAGACGTGAAAGACTTCTTCACGCATCCATATTCCTACTCCCTGGTTGGGGCACCGACCACAATCGCCCTATGGGAGTACCCTACGATTTACGGCCATATTTTTGAATCGAAGGTAGAGAAAACTCCCGTTGAATTCAAACAGCTACACTATTCTGTTAGGACTACGAGGTCCATGGAATATTTGATGAAGCTCCTGGATAATGAGTTTGAGTCTGTGCTGAAGTACGCGAAGATGTTCCCCGGTGAAGACGCGAGCGCTGCATTACAGAAGATGGCCATCACGATACATGGGGAAACGCTACAATATATCGAGTGATAAATAAAAGGTATTTATTACATGTTGTTGCTTGTATTTTTATTTTACCGGTTATTAAAGCCTGTTTTGATTGCACACGAAAATAATGGTACAAGATTCTTTAGTTTACAAGCCAGGACTTACGTATTTATACGCCAATTCAACCTTACTTCACTCTTTTAAAATACGATATCAGAATAGAGAATAGAGAGCTACAGAACGTGTACCAAATAATTTTATTAAAGCATTTAATACAGCTGACACTAATCACAAAATTACCTCGCGTTCAGCAAATAGAATGTATTTTAATAACATTATTAGTGTACGCCATTCAAATGTCAAATGTGAGCTTCCTGATCACGGCGCGAACATGTTGCAGAATGAAATTAATATTTTCACGCAATATTCGGAGAATTGACCTCTATGTAACATAGCGCCGGGTATTTTGGCGGACATGATTGTTGCTGTATCAGTTGCTACAACTACCTAATAGTTTTTACCTAATACTACCTAATACTTTTTGGAACTAGCTAGCATGGACGTACTTTACTTGAATTTTAATACTTAACAGTAAGACAACTAATAAAAAATGTGGAAACACTGACTTATAATCTGTGTCATGGGTACGTTTATAAACATACAAGTTCACATACACATGACACCCAAACCCGAAACAAATATTTGTGGATCACACAAAAACAGGACAGCTTTAAAAAGGGGTTTGTGCACAGAAATATTAAAACTATAACTTCTGCCATCATAATTAACTAATACTTAGATATTGTACCCACTCGGATTCTCGTGTAAGTAAAACCAACATATTAAAAAAGTTAAAATCCATATAATTCTCACAAATGTAACAGCTATAGGTAACAAATTGTTAACTTAACTTACAACTAATAGCTTTAAAACAATGATTTTAAAACAATAAGTTAAGCCTCAATCAACAGTAGACAAAATGTTCCCTGTTGCAGAACGTGTTGCGTAACAAAGTGTCTAGCATATAATTAATCGTAATTTTTTTTTTTAAATCGTTGCCCCACACTAGGATTATCTCCTGTGTCGTGGGTGCGTTTACAAACATACAAGTTCACATACACATGACACCCAGACCCGAAACAAAAATTTGTGGATCACACAAAGTGTTGTTCCGTGCGGGAATCGAACCCGCGACACGTTGCACGGCAGCCGGTTGCCCAGCCACCGCACCAACCGTGCAGTCACCAATTTGCAATATTAAATAAATATAAGTTCATTTATTTGTAAAGTAACGTTAAAAATGTAAAAGATTACATTATTGTAATAGAGCATGACACAAGAATAAGACAATGCATGGAGATAACTATTGCAACATATGATAGAACAGCAACATGCAACAAAATATGAGCAACTTGTAACATGTCATGTTGCATGCAACGTTATAAGACAAAATTATCGTTTATGGCTAAGAAAACCGTTGTCTACTGTATAGAGGTTTTAAATAATTAAATTATATATAACAATTATAATAAATGCTTAAACAAATAAACTAATTCTAAGCGACATTTGGAAACAAATCACAATTATTAGCGCCATTTTTATCTTAATAATAAAAAGGAATATTAAAGTACAAAACAAAATTATAAGTTGGTAATATAATTAAAAATGTTGCTACAGTCGTCGTGTGCTACGGCGTAGCTACTACGAAAACATATATAAACGATTTCAAATCGTATGACTTTAAACCTACTTCCAAACAAAGGAGTTTCTTTTATCGTTACGACATTATTTTATTTATTTATTTTCAGCCATGATCGTCCCACTGCAGGGCAAAGGCCTCCCTACCCTCCTTCCACTCCTCTCTATGTAAAGCTTTTTGCGGCCAATCCTTGTCATAGATGTCTAATTCGTCCCGCCATCTCCTTTTGGGCCTGCCGCGACGTCTACTGACGTTGAGTGGACTCCACTCAGTAGTAAGTTTTGCCCACTGCTCGTCTGACATGCGGAACACATGACCAGCCCAGTTCCACTTAAAGCCTGCGTCTTTAGGGCCAACGTCAATGATTTTAGTCGTGGAGCGCAGCGTGTAAACTGTATCTTAAGTGAAGGAAATAAAACAATGTGTCTAAAGCCTTAGTACAATATTGTTTTTCGTAGAAAGTAATCGAAACGAGTGCTTGCCACTTTCATTGGTTGGTCCATATAAGCCGGCCAATCAGAGAGCTGAACGAGCGAAACTCGTACTAAACTCTCTGAAACTTAGTTTTGAACACAGAACATTTTTTCTATTTTATTTAAATTCCGATTATTGTGTACAGGTTAGGTCAGGTTGGCCAAGTTATTTAGCATGCAGGAAAGAAAATAAAGTTTGATTGAGTACAAAGACAGTAATCAGTAATCATTGGTGCGGTTTTAAGTGTAGGAGAGCCATGCTTCGGCCGGCACGAATGGACCGGCTCGACCAGAGTCATACCACGGCCTCACAGAAAACCGACGTGATACAACGCTTCCGTTGTGTTTTGTCGTGTGAATGAGGTTACCGGAGGCGCAATTATCCCCCTTCCCCAATCACTACAATCCCTGAATCCCCAACAATTCTCAAATTCCTAATCCCCGAAAGGCGAATAACGCATTTGTAAATGGATGACCCCAACTGATGGTTCACTGAACTCATAGAATGAGGAGAATTTACATTTCACTTCAAAATTAGGTTTTATACAACAATGTCTTAACAAAACCATTTAATTTACATTGAATTGTCGAACTGATCCATAAATTAATGATTATAAAGATTTTCAAATAACAATATTTGTGTAAAGCAAATATAACAAATATAATTATATCACACTGTTCCCTTATGGGGTAGGTAAACTTAAAACTATAATACATAGGTATACTTTTCTCTATTTTCAAGGTCAATATTGAAGTCTCGACAAAATTCTGTCATTAATCGTGAATTTCTATTAATGAATTTTCTACTTTAATCATAAAACTGTAAGGTTGAAAGTTTATTGACAAAATTCACGACTTTACGATTGATTTTTCAAATTAATGTTACCAATGTCGAGACTCCGGTCTTAGGAACAGTTAACAGACGAATTCACTATGTACTGATAATTAACATAATATAAAATCACGCCTTTTACCCCCGAAGGGGTGCACATTACGGCATTAATGCCATTGTACAATTCCAGACTCAATGCTACTCTACTGAGAAGTTTTAAAAAACTCAGTAATATTTTGCCTGACCAGGAATCAAACTTGAGACGCCTTACCCAGCAGTGGCACTTGCGACCACTCGGCCAGCGAGGCATAAAAGGTGTGATGTTATGTTATGTTATGTAAACAACATGTTCAAATAAGAAACAATTAAGCTGTGAGCATAAGCGTTAAATAAAAAATAAATACCAAAGTACAACAGTACACATACTTAAATACAAACTGATATGTTGATTTAATTAATTTTTAAACACAATTATAAAAATTTAAAACTGTTCCATTTACTACTCAGTGTATTTATAATGCCATTGCAATTTATGTCTAAAGCCGAATAATAATAAGGTTTAAATTAGAACAAACAGTTTCAATTTCAAGGTTTAGTGTGAATATGTGATTGTATTTTATGTTAGTTAGGTACATATATACATACATATTTATGCAGAGCAATATTAAAGTATCGGTATACTGTAAACTTTAAAATCAACATTGAATATCATATTCTTTTTCTGTAGTTGTAAATAGAATAACAATAATACAACATCGATGCCTTTTTATAGTGTCATCTCTATTAATATTTAACATTCATTCAACAATCACATCTCCTGTAAAACAGAGAAGCACTCACCGTCTTAACAACTAATATTTCAATTCCTGAAAAAGGTCTATAATATAATTTAACCTATAACTTTCACTACAATGTATAAATCATCTGTTTTATAGTGTCTACTGATTGACAGTCACCGAACTCTTCAACGTAAGTCTTCGCTTTATCCGCATGCTCTGTATACAATAACCGAGTCCGTTCTATAGCATCTGTGTTTAAGACCTCAGTTTTCAATACTTCTAAATCCACCTCTGTAATATTCTGTATATTCGCTACAAGTTCGTATAAATGAGGTTTTTCGTTAATAGCAAATAAAACTGGTGCACTTACTATAGAGAAGGAATCTTTGTCCGATGTCATCTTTTGTACTTCGGTCGCTGCTTGCCATGCTAAACAAAGATGGCAGCCGAATTTGTAAGCGGTTTCCTGCTTCTTTAAGTCATGTTCGCCTAGTACTAGAGCGCCCTGACAGCCTCTACCAAACAGTGATCCTCCGTTATACATTGACCGTAATGTCCATTCCCTTACCGGTGAACCGAGAACATCTTTCACTTCTAATGGTAATGTGTCACTGCATATCTCATACACATCCCTTGTGTTCTGCACCGGTTTGCCTGGTACGGGCATGTTTTGTGCATCTCTATGCCCATAAAACTCTCCTTCACTTATATCACGTAAAGCAGTAGAAATTAAGTATGAAAGGTCTTGATGTTTTAGCCTAGCCAACATTCCATTAGCAGTTACAAGTAAATAGTCTCCAATAAGGATAGCTATTTTGTTGGCAAATATTGATGAGTCACAACTTTTGTTTCGGTCACTCGGTGGTATGTTTAGTAAGCCTCGGTGTACATAGTGTCCTGTTCGTATCATTTCTGTGAGTTCGGCTAATATTCTCTGGTTTTGCGTAACTGTGCTGGTTAGGAGTGATGTTGGTGGGTTGACTGCCTTGGACAGTAGGAGTATGATGAGGCCCCAGGGTTGCAGGTTGTTGTGTTCATTGTGTAGGAGCATCTTTGCGGTCTTGACGATGGGGTGATTCATGCCAACCTGGAGAGAAATATTTAGTTTGAAAATTTTTTATAAGATTCATTACAGATTCTATTTATTATTTAGCTTTTGTTAACAGCTATCAGATCACTGTATACTGTATTTAACTATTGTAAATAGAATGACCACTCTCCACTGACTACGTTATAGACCTTATTTCCGATGCTTAGAGACTACTTTTGTATGGACAAATTTAGAGGATGATATTTCAACAGGTTAAATTGGACAATTAAACTGTCAAACACCAAGCGGTCACCGGTGACCGCGACCTATTGTTCTTTAATTGTGTCTATAAATACGGTACTCGACGAGTTAAAAACATTTATTTGTATTCTTTAAATGCATTTAACAGTTTATTTATTATGGAACTAATTTGCCCAATAGTGTAACTGTCCTCAAAATTGACATCGGAATACCTAAAAACGTATGTTTTATTCATTAAATAAATTACCAATGTCAAGTAGAAACAATTGAAATGAATTAATTTTGACTTTAAAATATTGAATTAAGGTCATATTAAATTGCAACATTGAGCCTATAACATCATTGAGAGACGCGGAACTTGTCTATGTTGTTATTGTATCTAATAATTTGTTGAACAGGAAATAACCTTGCCCATCACATGGCCAAACACTAAACACTAATACTATTACATAATAATTAATTTTATGACATAAACCTTGACATTTACAGCTTATATGACCATAATATAATAATGTCACCAGTATACGAGTATTATAATACTAATAAAATGAAATTTAATTCAATTTTTTACGAGAGATAACAAGTTTTATGTACTTACAACTGTGCGCAAATGCATCGCTAAATTGGCGAATTCGTCGCTTAATAGCCATCGCAGGTTCATGAAAGAGGTCGGATATCCAACTATCTTCTCGGCTTCTCTGATAACTTTGCCCCATTGAGCCATAGGAGGCCGAAATATGATGTCTTCCGGAGTCAAGCTCGTCATAGTGGATTCGACTCGAATTTGTTGTGATAATAATGCCGTACGGCGTAAATGACGGATAAGGGCGTACGACATGGCCACTGAGTTTATTGTGTAATACTTTAAAATGTAATAAATTTAATTTTAATCACGCATTTAATTTAAAAACACTCAACCTCGCGCACTGCACAGTGGTTATGTCATTCTGTATTTTGAGTTTTTGACATTAGCTTTGAGTCGTTCAGAAACGTGAATGTTTCTACACTCGCGACAGACACACAGTGAAACAACATTCTTCAAAAAATAGCATACTTCATAAAAAAAAAACGCAGTGCAATAATTTATTTTGTATATAACATGCGGTTTAGAAGTACATTTGTGTTCTTTACATCATTATCAGTCAACAATTATTTGTTACAAGTTTTGACAGACTTGTTGCTGTTTCCGAACGAAGTCGAATTAGATTGTCCGCGCGTACTTTCAACCTGATTCTTTACCCGACCGGAAAGCGTTAGGTAATGTGTTATTATCCAAAATTTGGTTACATATGAAATTGTAATGATCTAAATGAGAGACCCAATTATACTTTTCCACGCAAGGCATAGTTTAGGTTAACATAAGAAGTTTTTTAAGTAGGTACGTTCTAAAAAGTGATTACGGTATAAGATATCATATTTATGTGGACGAACCTACTGATGTAATGTGAAATGAGGAAAATAAAAATATAAAATAAGTTAATTCGCTTTGTTTACCTACATGTTTTTAATACTTAACATGTTGCTGAATATGCGAGAACTTAAATATGAACGCTCATGTTTGTATTTGGCCTATATTAGTATCAAGTTATTTTATCAGCGATTTGGGCTAATCGCTATCTAATCATTAGTTTTGAGGCCTTAGTACGAATTTGATTTACGTATAAAGTATTCGAAAGGAGTATGCGTTCTGCGCTCTGATTGGCCGGCTCTAATGAAACAACCAATCAGAGCGCCGATATAGTGATATAGAGTAACAGAGGCCTTAAATTAAGGCCTCTGTTACTTTATATCTCGATGCTTAAATGTATCAATTCATAAACTAATCCAAATAACATAAACTATTGTACACCTTATAGGTATGTTACTATGCTACTATTATACCTCTAATATATATAACATTGGCCGAGTGGTCGCAAGTGCGACTGCCGGGCAAGGGGTCTCGGGTTCGATTCCCGGGTCGGGCAAAGTTTTACTGGGGTTTTTTAAAAATCTCAGTAGTAGCACGGAGTCTGGAAATGTGCCCGGTATATGGCAATACGCTCACCCCCTATTACATAGGACTCATAACATAAATAGTGAAAAGTGGGTGTTACTTCTATGTGCACCTCTGCCTACCCCTTCGGGGATAAAAGGCGTGATGTTATGTATGTATGTATGTATATATAACATCTATTGTCAACATGTAACAAACAATAAATGAATTTGAATTTGAATTTGAAACTTTCTGAAAAATACTACTACTAGGTACTATTTACATGAATAACTGTCGTGGTGCAAAAGACGCCTGCATGTGAGTGCGGGTTCGAAACCTACCAACGGCCAGTACCAGTGTGACTTTTCCGGGTTATATGTACTTAGTATGATTATCTAGACACCACTGACAAATGTAAAGGACAACATCGTGAGGACACCTGGGTGTTTAATTTCTAATTATAAGTTTGAAATCGCCAACCCGCAATGAGCAAGCGTGGCGATTAATCAAACCTTCTCAGTGCGATAAGAGGCATTTGGTCAGCAGTGGTTACTTATAGGCTGTTGATAATGATTTACATGAATATTAATTAATTTTCAGGTATTACCTACATGTTAGGAAGTTAATATATCACTCATTAAGTGTCTATCATAGTCCAGTCAGCTCTGTCAGAATGTGGGGTACACTACCTCTCCTACATTAAGAAGGTTAACTAACACACGGCCTGCCAAATAATGCCAGCCATCGCCACGCTTGCCACGACTTGGCAAGCAGTTTGAGGATCGCCGTTTGAAAGGCTCTGGTTTATCAGAGAGCTTTTTTACCCGATATCTGTCATATGTACTGTGCTGTCCCATAATCGGGCTCTAGGTGATGTTATGGTTGTTAAATTAATTAATTGACTGCCTCTTTGGCCGAGTGGTCGCAAGTGCGACTGCCGGGCAAGGGGTCTCGAGTTCGATTCCCGGGTCGGGCAAAGTATTAAAAATGTCAATAGTAGCACAGAGTCTGGGAATGTGCCCGGTATATGGCAATAGGCTCACCTCCTATTACATGGGACTCATAAATAGTGAAAAGTGGGTGTTACATTGTACAGTGGCATTAAACGCCGAAATGTGCACCTCTGCCTACCCCTTCGGGGATAAAAAGGCGTGATGTTATGTTGTTATGTAATTAATTAATTATTATCTTAACTTGGATTAAGTAGATACTTAGTTATAACTGTAACTGGGTCCTACTAATTGATAAATGGCAGTTCCAAGGTTTCGTATGCATATGACATACACAGTAGCGACCGTAATAATTTTATAACGAGAAACTCATACCTGACTGACTCATTTAATTATTGTTCAATCCGTTACAAAAGCTTAAAAGTCTACAACTATAGTACCTATGTAAAATAAACCGGAATAAACATCATTCAAGAAATCGCAAAACAAAACCTTGAAGCGTATCAGCAGAATCGGTCACGATCCCCATTAATGACGGCCACTGAATGACGCCATCATAAATACAGAACAGCCAGCTTTGAATGCAATTAGGTATTTCATTTTAGATTTTATCTCCACCCCCATATGAACGCATCGCTAATAAATACAAAGTACTGAACGAACGCTTCTACACCGGCCAATCACGTGTCGGCGCGCCATAATTCAAAAATAGAAGGGTCAGGGAGGCCGCTGCCGCTGGCGAAGACGGTGGCTCGTCCGTAGCAATTAAAAATAAAAGCAATGTATAATTTGTAGGCAGTTTATGGTGCATCGTACCTGCGTCCGCAAAATGAATAAAATGTCAGCCATTTGCATTTTGATCGGTGTATTTCTGATTGAGTGAGGTCCGTGCACGTTGGCTGCAGGTGAGGGCCTCGTTTTGAGACTTCGCAAACTTTTAATGATTGATTTGACTTATTTATTTACAAGTTTCTTGAACATGTTAAGTAAATAATAATCGGTTAATTTTAAATTAGGCATGTATAGGTATCTTTGACTCAATCAAGCGAATCTTATAATCAATCAAGCGAATAAAGAAAACATTTAAAAAAGCAAAAAGTAAATTTAAAAGTGGCACTTAAAATTAAAAGCTAATTAAAACCATTCTAAATTAGCGCACCAACATAAAGCCAGTTTAACGATATATTGACACACATATTGTAACGAAGCAAAAATGTTATAAACATATAAAGATAAAGTATGAAGTTTTTTTTTGTATTATGGTAACACTAATAATGAGATTTCGACCCAGTAAATTACTCCTTACCTACCTTGCACCTAACGCCAATCCTATGCATTTAAAAACGATTTACTTTTATTATAGCTAGAAAGAGATGCAATACTTTAATTACAAAGTTAGAAAAGGATGGAGGACAGTGATTTTCTGGTTATAATTTGAGAAGGTTGATCAGATACTGGGGGAGGTAATGAGAATGAAGTGTTTTATGGGTAATTAATGTGGTCTTAGTGCCATTTTTTGAATAAGGGATATTAAGAGAAGATTATATAAGCACGTAGGTACTGCTATTAAGTGATCCTGTGTTTTTGAAAACGTTTTCTGTCTTTCTTTCTAATCGATTTTCTGAGACCAACATGATGGCCCTATATTTCAGTACATAGGTAAGGCAATGTTAAACTATTTTTTTTTAAAAGAAATCGTAGGTAGGTACTTCATTCTTTCTAGGTCTCGGGCTCTATAGTGATATAACTGCAAATCTCTGCGAGTATTAATATCAATTGACGGCAAAAGATTAAGTAAGGCGGATACCCATTTACTTTAAAAAAAAATCAAACCAGCAAAGACGATTCAAAACCAAACCAAACGATTCTAAACTAGCAACACTGTTGCAAAATCCGCGCCATTTTTTTCTAAGCACTCTGGCGTGGGCGCGAAAATGATGCCTCATTCTGAATGAAGGTTTTAATGGACGGCTTTGAAAAAAATATTAAAAATTAAGACGCGCCATCATTATGAGACGCATAGTCCACGGGTAGAGGGTTCGACGTTATTGAACGCTTTTGTTATTAAGTACAACGACCCCACTCAGATTTTACTAATTAAAATTGTATATTTTTTAATCTTATTCTAATTTTTCAACGTTAATGGACGAACCGATATTGTCTTTGGATACTTTTTTGAGATAGATGGTTTCAAATTTATTTTTTGTTCTTTTTTGTTTTTAGTTTTTTGTTTTTTTTTCTGTGATTTTGATGCAGAGGATTTATTGAGACTTCTTTTGTCTTGATTGTACACAATGCTGTATGGCTAATGGGATTGCTCATTGCTGATTATTTTAGCAATTAGCAATGCTATTACGTAAGGATTGTAGGTGTTTGTGAAATACTAGTAAATTCTGGAGCTATTTAAGTAAAAGACTGGGAATACTTTTGAAGTTATTTAGTGATCATTAATTTAAAAATTCAACACCATAGCTTTTGCATGTCCACTATAAGCATTCTAATTTTAAACCTAAGTTTGATGCGGTTATTGCTGAAACAAGTGAAACAAGTGAATTTATTTCTGCAAATAGGCTACAAGGCAGCACTTTTACACGTCAATTTTATCAAGCGAACGATGAGGTCGACATTTCCTAACTGACTAGTGAGAAGAAATGCAGAAACAAAGCTAGAGTTCCATCATCATAACTAGGTACTAAATGTGACCCCCTTATAACAGGGTCATTTACTAAAACCCCCACACTTGGCAGGCGACAGGAAATCGCAATTAAATCTTCGAAAAATTTAACGGTGCTCTAGGCTTTCAGCTAGATTAGGACGTGTAAGGGTTCCATACATACATCTATA